TATATATATATATATATATATTATATGTATATGTGTTCACAAGTTCAGTTTATTGCTCTAAATATTACTATGTGAATGGTTATTTATTGGTTTATTAAATAAATAAGCAAAATGTATTTCCATAGGATTTGGTTTTGAGTATTTAGATGAAATGTATTTTTGAATGGTTGATTCTTGATATTTTTTTGCTTCATCAAGGGCATGGTTCTGCTGTCTGGTGTTATTGCCTTTCTGGTCAATTTGTCCATTTACTGGATCATTGGGAACACGTCTCCTGTTACGTATCCTTTCTGTTATTTCTCTGAAATATCAGTCATTCAGCTGTGGCTATTTCTTTTTTTCAATTTTTGGTGCAGAACACACCCTTTAGACACGCATCTAAAAACAGTGCTCTCTAAAACATGACTTCATTGTTTGTTAATTGTGAGATTAGGTCTATAATGCAAGCAAATGTTTGTTTACAGAGACTTGGCAAAGCTTGGCAAATAGTAACATGTAGATACACCCTTTTTTTTAATAATGAAAGGGAAAGCTGTAAATCAAGGCACATTTTTTCAGCTATACTGAAAACATTTCACGGTTTTGAATACACCCATTGAGTGCGAGTTCAAGAGTGAGACCTTTCTCAAAGTACGCAGTAGAGGGAGCACTTTACTAACATCTGTTTTAAACCACTTTTGGGCCACTTATTATTTCTCAACCAAGGGTTTAGACTTTTTTTTTTTTTAAAGCCAAGGACGTGGAAATATGCTAGCTTATGTTCTGTTAGCTGTCTTTCTAAAATATGCTGGCAACTATATAATTGAATATGTAAAATACCATTTATACTGTATGAAACATAGACAGTGTCATCTCATCATTTTTGCAGTGTTTTAACAAATTCAGATACTTTTAATAAGTTTGTGATGACATTCATGTAGAATATTCATGTATCAATATAAATAGAAGTATTGAGTTACAGTTAAGCCAATGCCCGAACTCATGCATCCAACTCACTAATAATTCATGTACATTTAAATTGATGATTTATCCATCAATCAATATAAAAATTAGCATGTTATTTTATTAACAGCTTTTTTTGTTGTTGACATAACTCATATCCATAAATCACTATTAAAAACAGCATGTTATTTTGCTAACACATACTTTTTAATATATTTTTAACAGATTAATTAACTTTTTTACATAGTTTTTTCATTTTTTAACTTTAACATATTTATTAACTATTTTGCATATCATATTCGCAAAACTGACACATCCATAAATCAATATTAAAACTTAACTTATTGTATTAACCGACTTATTTATTTTTAACAGATTTATTAACTTTTTACATATTTGCAAGACTGTTATATCCATAAATTAATATTAAAACTACCATCTATTATTTTATTAACAGATTATACTTATTTATTTTTAACAGATTTATTAACTTTTTACATAGTATTTACATTATTTAATTCTAACATATTAACTATTTTGCATATCATATTCGCAAAACTGACACATCCATAAATCAATATTAAAACTTAACTTATTGTATTAACAGATTATACTTATTTATTTTTAACAGATTTTTTAACTGTTTACATATTTGCAAGACTGTTATATCCATAAATGAGTATTAAAACTACCGTCTATTATTTTATTAACAGATTATACTTATTTATTTTTTAACATTTATGGACTTTTTACACATTCACAAGACTGATATATCCAGAAACATCTGTTATTTTGTTAACAGATTATACTTTTTTTAACAGGTTTATTAACCTTTGCTGCATACTAACAAGACTGATATATCCTTAGATCAATATTAAAACTATCTGTTATTTTATTAACAGCTTTTTGTGTGTGTTAAGATTTCTCTTAAATATCATATTCACAAGCCTAACTATAAAACATAAAAATCCTAACTGTAAAATGGTCTAAAGCAGGGCTGTCCAAACTCGGTCCTGGAGGGCCGGTGTCCTGCAGAGTTTAGCTCCAACTTGCCTCAACACACCTGACTGGAAGTTTCTAGCATGCCTACTAAGAGCTTGATTAGCTGGTTCAGGTGTGTTTAATTAGGGTTGGAGCTAAACTCTGCAGGACACCGGCCCTCCAGGACCGAGTTTGGACAGCCCTGCTCTAAAGAATATTAACTTTGAGAAAGAATCATACTGCATCAAGCTCATTCTGTGTGTGCCTGACTCATCTCTGAAGCTCAAGTCATGTCTTCAAAGCCTGTTTCTCAAGTGCATGTCATAAGTCTCGAGGAACCTCCAAAAGTCATTGTCAGACAAGTTCCCTTAACATATATCCTCACAGCTACAACATGTTTGGACACTTCAAGTTCTGCATCACATTACTAGGTGGGTATGTCCTCTTCCAGGACCCCTTGTCCTTAAATCAAGGTCTGGGCATCCTCTGCACCCTCAGTGGCATCCTGGCATACACCCATTTCAAACTGGCAGAGCAGGAGGAGGGCAAAAGCAAGCTCTTACAGAGGCCATAGGCCCGCTGATGTGCCAATCAACAAGAAAGCCAGTGTTCAGTGCCTGATTTCTTCAGGAATAGCTAGCGATGGCTCCTGCATAGGAGCGTGAAGACTAACCAAACATAGACTGGAAGGATGTAGGTTTAAGCCATAGAGGCTGAGAACTTTTAATAGCATTTCAATCTTTTTAAGAGTTTAATTTGTGGTCCAAGTATTCAATATTTGCAGATAAACCTGCAAAAATATGCCGTTTGGGAGATAAACTCTGAAACTGCTGAAGCAGTTTGTAAGTGTTCTTTTATAATGTATTTTTCAAACGGTCTGTACAACAATAAAACATTTTATAGAAAGTGTAACAACTGTTTTCTTTTGTCAGATAGTTCAAGAATGGAACGTTATCTTATCTAGTCGAGTCTAAGTCGTGACTTTTAGGACAAAGGGTCAGTGCCTATTTGGCAAAAAGACCTGAGTAGCTGTGAAATGGAATGTCAATCATTTGTTCAGTTCACGATGAGGGCTTTTCAACTTGTTTTTCTCTTTTGCAATGCACAACTGAAACATTAGTCACATTCCAAAGTCCTGTCTCCAGTCTAAACTCTAGATGTTTTTCAGCTTTTTTTTGTGTGAATATTAGTCTCGTCCTAATTTTGAAAAGGAGGTGGTAAACAAAAATACTGCAAATTATGCTGCTTAAAGGGACAGTTCACCCAAAAATGACCTATTTTCTTCCATGGAACATGAAAAAATATAGTTTGAGTATATTCATAAATATGAAAGAATATATTTTTCAAATGTGTTTTATTCTCTGTACAATTCAAGTTGACATCCCTTTAAGATGATCTGAAAGGTTCATGAAAATTATTTCAATCTGGTCTAAACTGTGTCTACATTTATTTACTTATTATATAACTTGATTTATTTTTAATATATATATATTAAATACACATTTATATTAATATATGCTATATAACATTGACAAAGTTTGGTGTCAGTACATTTTTTAATGATTTTAAAACATTTTATGTTCACCAAGGCTACATTTAATGCAAAATTGTATTGTGAAATAATGACAATATAAAATGTCTGCTTTGTTTTTGAATATATTTTAAAATGTAATTTATTCCTGTGATATCAAAGCTGAATTTCCAGCAGCCATTACTCCAGTCTTCAGAAATCATTCTAAAATGCTGATTTGCTGCTCAAGAAACATGTCTTAAGTTATTATTATCAGTGCTGAAAACAGTTGTGCTGCTTAATATTTTTGTAGGGGAAAAAATGATTTGAGAAGGTTCAGAAGAACAGCGTTTATCTGAATTAGAAATTGTGACATTATAAATGTCTGTTTCTTTTGCTCAATTTAAAGCAGCACTATGTAACTTTTGGCGCTCTAGCGGTTAATCAACAGAACTGCACACATCCCGCGGAGGAACATTCCAACCGGAGCTACTTCTCTAAGTTTATGTCTATGGCGATTCACGCAGGTATGTGTTACTCCGCAGCGGCGACGACCGACCAGGCTACAATAGTCCAAATATAAGTACTTATTATAAGTGTACCGTAGTGATACGGAATAAGACATAAGAGACGCAGTTTGGAAGATGAATTCATGATGTACTCGCTCATTATATACATTTAGCAAATTTTGAACACAGAAGAAGTTACACAGTGCTGCTTTAAAGCATCCTTGCTAAATAAAAGTATGAAGTTATTAAAAACATGTAAAAAGGAAAGAAGCCAACAAGTGCCTAAAAACATGGAAACTCCTGGTTAATCCCAATGTTGTCATATTCACTTTTCATTAATGTCTTACATATTACCTGATAAATGCAGAACTCTGACTAGCCTACTAAAACTTATCCAGTGTGGTTTAATATTGAAATAAGGAGTCAACAAATGTGTACAACAATATAAAATGAACTTCACATGGTCAAACTCGTTTAATCGCAATAAACAAACAACAGTAAAACAGCAAATGTAGATAGGACTAATGTAAATAATATCCAACTCGCCTTCACGTGAGTGTATTGTGTGATGTTTACGCCGCGTGCTAGAACATTTCAAATTCAAACAGGCGCCAGTAGAGGGAGTTCGCGACGCTCAACGGTCACCAGCAGGTAAGACATTAACACTTTCTCGTATATTTATTACACCTATAAAGCTGTACATATCTGAATAACATTGTTATACGCTCCAGCGAATTATTTTAACACCGTATGAGGCTTTAATGTCCGTTTGGTCGCCTAAAATAATTTGCCTCAGCCTTGCGTTAAGCGCGGCCTACTGCAGCCTCGGGTTTTCCTGATAGTCCACAGCGGGAAATAGACACCCGGGACTGCGAGCGTTTGTGGCGTTGTTAATATAAGTTAGCTTAGTCTTGTCGTTCAAATGCGCAATGCGCCACATTAGGCAAGAATCGTTTAAGTCGTGTATTTAAAACTATTGTTACTATTCTACTTGTAAAGAAAGTAAGAAATGTATACGCAACGTTATGCGTATAAATGAGTTATTACGTAAACAAACAACCGCGGCTTATACATGTTTATGCTTTATAACTGGAGGAAAGCACACTACGCACTTTGTGTTGTTTTTTGTTAACGTTACATCGTTATTATCTGTCATACTGGAACCTGACATGTCAAAAGCACGCAGGACGTCGAGCGTTTCATCACAAGCAAGTTAACGTTGCATCTCGTAAACCGAACAATATTTACACGTCGATCTGTTTTCATGTTACCTCTTGGGGGAAGACTTTGATGTTCCATGATGTTAAGGTTTTACATTACTTATGTGCAGCTAATTTGAATGGAGATAGTTCCATGCATACAGATGGCAGTTATAAATCCCGAAGACAACAAACTTGAGATTGTTGTGTTTTGCGTGTGTACTGGGCATTTCAAAAAATGAGCATTGCACTGTCCTAGTCCAGAGACATTTGGAGCTTTACTCGAAGGGCATCCGTAGCACTTGTAATGAATAACTTTTAGTCTTTTCGGCTTGAATTTATTTAACTGAGGAGCTAATAATCCACGAGGGTCATCGCTTTGGTCCAAACACTCCGTTATTTCCCCTGTTACTGGGCTGATAAGCCTCAAATCCAAGTGCTTAGCCAGCAATGGGCGGGTGTAGTGAGACGGGACATGCCCGGACATGAACACAGAGAGCCAGACAACTCAGCAAAGATGGTCTACCACCACTAGGCGTCTGAAGGCAGTCACGCTTTGACATGTCATGCCCGGAACCCGCCCTGGATTCTAGCCCTGACATGCCTCTCTGCGTCTATTTAAACCATAGACTGGCTCTTAGCCGGCTCCCATTCATCACTACGCCAGAGCTCAAGCACTTTATGTACAGGGAGCAGAGTATATATAGAATATTCTTTGCTAAAATAGCCAATTTACCTCTATTTGCACAGGTAATGTTCGTTCTGAAGTTTGCAGTTGTACTGAATTGCCTCTAAATTGTTCTATGTAGTCTAACTTTGTTTATTTTTTATTTTTTTTTACAGATTAACTACCAATATGGCAACAGAAAGTTGTTTAAGCAGTTCTCAGATCAACAAGGTTGACAACGAAAAACTGGTAATGTAGCATTCAAGGTGTGTCTTTGTGCATTTAATTGCGTTTTTGTACCTTGAAATGACTGAGTTTTATTTATTGTAACTTTAGGTAAGACCAAAAGTGCAGCTGAAAAGCCTTTTAGAGGATGCAGGTGCAGATAAAGATGTTTTCACCATGAAGGAGGTGAGGAGATGTGTTTGCTGACAGCAGTTTAAGTCCATTTTATTTGATATACACTAACATTAAAAAGTTCGGGGGTTGGGAAGATATCCTGTGAAGTCTTTTATGCTCACCAAAGCTGCATTTATTTGATCAGAAATACAGTAAAAAGAGCAATATCTTGAAATATTATGTCAATTTAAAATAGTTATTTTTTTCTATTTGAATATATTTTAAAATTCAATTTATTCCTTTATTTTGAAGAACATTTATTTGAAATAAAAATATTTTGTAACTTTATAAATGTCTTTTGATCATGTTAATGCATCCTAGCTGAAGGGTTTATTTCTTAAAAAAAAACGTACTGACCCCAAACTTTTGAACGGTAGTATACGTATCATGCTTTATGGCTGTATATAAAAGTGGATTTATGCCAGTTGTTAGTAATGCTGAACCCTGTCATATGTTGTATGCATCATTTTTCATACAAGCACTTAAGCAGTGACACCTAGAGAGTTTTTTGAAATAATGAGTTTGTGGTCAAATGCCAGTTGGAGCTTATTACTTCTGTACGTTTTTGATTGGAGGATGATAGAATATGTTTAAAAAAAAAAAGAAAAAAAAAGGAGACGAGTCATTAAGGGTGGGCTTTTTTTTTTTTATTAGGCCAGTAAGAAACCACTCAGAACACCTTAGCAACCATGTATAAAATGCACTGACATCATGGCAGTAGCATTTGCATGGGCAAGTGCCATTATTCAACAGTTACAAAATCGAATTTCTAACTTTAATATGTAGTGTGCAACAATATAGATCATTTGTATACCTTTTTACTCTTGATATTTGATGATGTTTTAAATATTTTCATCTGTTGTCAACTTTATTGTGATGTATGAGTCTTTTTTTATGGCTGAAAGTTGTGGTTATCTGACTAATAGGAATGTATTACTCATCTATATTGAATATTTAAATAACCACATCTTTACCATTCTTTCTGTCAACAATCTGTTTCAGGAAATGGTTTCCCTGTCGATCTCTAAACAACTTCTTTTTCTGTGTTTTTAGGTTATGTTTTATTTGGGGAAGTATATCATGAGCAAGGAGTTATATGACAAGCAGCAGCAACACATTGTTCACTGCGGAGAGGATGCTCTTGGTGCTGTTCTCGGGGTGAAAAGTTTCTCAGTCAAAGAGCCCCGGTGTGTATTGACTCTCTAACTTCTCTAAGGCAGAGCAGCTGTAGCACCAATGACCTCTGGGAATATCAGGGTGGGGCTTTAAAGCAACAGGTGGCAGCTTCCTGGACATTTGACCTACTAACTCTGAAAGGGTCTGTTGTCACCTGTTTAAGATATGAAGTGCCTGCAGAAGTTATTTGGATACCTTGGATACAAAGAGGGGGCCAGTGTAGATAAAAAAGCATGTAAAGCATACACGTTTCTCATATTTGCTTTTGTTTTTAAAGAATTGAAAGTGAAATTTTCTATATGAAAATTAAAGTTTTATTTGTAATTTTATCTTCTTTTTTTTTTTTTTCCCCCCTCAGAGCACTCTTTGCAATGATCAACAGAAACCTTGTGACAGTGAAAAACCCAGGTACTATGATTGTTAAACCTTTTTTTCTCTCTTTGTTTTTATCTGTTGTTTGTGTTAAAACTGTCTGTTTCCTTTTACAGATACTCAGTCTACCTTCTCTGAACCCAGGAGTCAAAGTGAACCAGATCGAGGGCCCGGGGTAAATGTTCTTTTATGCTCACACACTTAGAACCACAGAGTATTGACCCATTCCACAGAGTTGCCCTGGTAGTGCTGTGTTTGTGCTTGAATGGGTTTTATAGAGCCCCTGCTGTGTTTGAGATTGAAGCATGACTGAAACTCCACTGTCTGTTCTAGGATACAGATTCAGACTCTCGCTCATCTACCTCACAACAGCAGCGCAGGAGGAGGAGAAGCAGTGATCCTGGTAAGTGCACACAACACAGCAAAAGACACACCAGCTGTGTCCTGTTGAAAGCACATGCTTGATCAGTTGGGTTAGATAGGATTTCAGATAGAGTTGTTTATTCCAGTGTTGACGTAGTTCCTGTTTGAACTGGAAGGACTTGTCCATTTTTCTTGCATTTTTCCCTCTCTCTAGCCTGCTGCTTTTAGCTCAGACTGGTACAATTACAGTTGAACTAATGTGTTAATTTTGGAAAAGTAAACATTTTTAACAAGTGTACTGTCAGTTTGTTTGGATAAATTTTGGCATCTAATAAAATGCCTGTTTTTAGGTTTCATTATTTCAAGCTAGTTTATTTTTTGCAGGAGTTTTGTAAAAGGTTGAGGCAAGAGGTCTGGATTCCCGCAGCTCTCCTGGGATCCGACCAGATTTTTTGCGCCATGGGATTAAATTCCCGAACAAAACGCGGTAGCGGTCGGTAACTCTGGTGTAATTTGAACGGCAGCGGGCGGTCGAACAGTATCCCGTTCTCGATGTCCATTTAGAATAGCATATCTGCACTTTATTCTTATTGACCACCGGTACAGCTTGCGCTCAGGACTGTTATGCACGCATGCTTTAAACGTCACACGTTTTATTTGCCTGGTCTGTGTGCAGCATGTGCATAACGATGCTCCAAGCAGGCTGAACCTGTGGTAAATATACAGCCCTCAGACAGAACAGGCAGGTTGTCGATGACTGACAGCAGAATAAGGATGGAGCAAAGTGTGGATGCGCTTTCATTGAAGGATGTTCAGCTCGGTTTTGGTTATATTTTGCTTAGCCTATAATTTTAAATGAAAGATGTCCTATTTATTAATTTTTCTCTGCGACACTTTTCCTACTGTGTTAACAGAAAAATGTCAAACGAATTTAGTATTTTGACAAGACGAATTAAAATTGCTAATAGGCTATTAGCAACATTTTTATTTTCTCTGACACTTATTTTCCTACTGTGTTGCATAAAATATTGTGTCTTAAGAAAATGATGTCGGTAAGAAAATGATTCTAAGCGGACAGCGGGTGAACAAAGAGTGAATATATAGCGGGAGCGGGTGGATGCGGAAAAGAACCTTGCGGAAGCGCAGACCTCTAGTTGAGGCGACTCTTTTTCAAGGACTGTTTATTTTTCCAGCCTTGTATTTTTTGTGAATCATCCAGTATTCATGATGGATAATTTTGTACTATTCTTTCAGTCCTGACAGAGGACTGTATGCGAGTAAACATGTGGTACCATAATGACTACTCTCCCTGTCACTGTAAATCTCAAAAGGACATCCAGAAGGAGACCTGAAGGCTGTGCAGAATGTGCTCAAAAGACAATTAGGGTTGGGTACCGAACTCTGTACTTTTAAGGGTACCGACCGAATTGCGTCAGTAGTACCGATTCAGGTTAAATCAATCTGTGCCATATTTCAGTACCTGAGAACGCATCTGGGTGCATACGCTACAGAGAGAAAGAGAGAGACCCTGTGACGTGAGGTCACCCCTGCAACTCGTTCAAACAACACACAGGGCAAGCCGAAATGTTCTGAAGTGTGGTTACATTTCTAGGGCCATATGGTTTCTGAGAAAACGCAGACGGTATCGTGGAGAAATGAAAATTAGCCCATAAATTACTCGCCCTCAAGTCATCCTAGGTGTATATGACTTTCTTCTTTCAGACGAATCCAGTCATATATCCAGTCCGAGTTATATAAAAAAATTGTCTTTGATCTTTCAAGCGGTTTAATGCCACTCAGTGGGTGTTGCATGCATCCGTCCAAAAGCAGTTAAATAAAATGTGCCCATCTATAAAAAAAAAGTGTCTCACACGGCTCCGGTGGGTGAACAAAGGCCTTTTGTAGCGAATCGATGCGTTTTTGTTAGAAAAATATCCATATTCAAAACGTAATAATCACTTTAATCTAGCTTGTGCTCACTGTTGTACACTGGAAGCAGTTCCGGGTGAGTGACCTATGAGGTCAGCGCTGCGCATGCGCCAGTGAGTCTCGTGAAAACCAGCATTTGTTAACGGGAGCAAAGGAAGCAAAGTTTCCTTACTTTAGCAAAGGAAAACCAGTCTCCTCTTGGCTTATATCGAAATCCTCTCACATTCTTCTTTACAAATCCTCATTTTGTACTTCTAATTAGTGACCATTGTTTTGTTTTGATTTCTCCCCTGTGCTTCCGTGTGCGTCACTTCTGAGCGGCGCATGCGCAAAGCTGACCTCATACGTCATTCCCCCGGAACTGCTTCTGTGTACAACAGTGAGGGCAAGCTACATTAAAGTGATTATTACGTTTTGAATATGGATATTTTTCTTACAAAAACGCATCGATTCGCTACAGAAGGCCTTTGTTCATCCCCCGGAGCCGTGTGAGACACTTTTTTTTTTATTTTTATGGATGGGCGCATTTTATTTAACTGCTTTTGGACGGATGCACGCAACACCCGCTGAGTGGCATTAAACAGCTTGAAAGATCAAAGACAATTTTTAATATAACTCCGACTGGATTCGTCTGAAAGAAGAAAGTCATATACACATAGGATGACTTGAGGGTCAGTAATTTATGGGCTAATTTTCATTTTGGGGTGAACTAACCCTTTAATCTACAGAGCTGCTGTGAGAGTCACTTACCGAGAATTTTACCATTTCATTTGAGAAAACTAGCATCATCATACTGTATACACAGAAACTTCATGGCAACCTGTCAAAATAAAAGTACGGTTTAGCATGTAACAGAAATATATTACTCTTGTATTACTTTTGTACAGTATAATGTACATCTTTAAATATTCCATCTTCTATCAAATTTAAATAAAACAATAATGATATAAATAATGATAAAAATAAGTATTACAACCCGATTAATCACTTAATTGTAGAAAGAAATAATAAAATTATTAGCCTATTAAAAAATGTTTTAAAGGAATATTCACACAATTTTTCTTCCATGTATTAATTTCAATCAATTTTGTTTGGCAAAAAATAAAAGGGTTTAATTTTCATTTGATTTAAAATAAATATTTAATGCCTTCATTTGATTTTCAGAAAAATTAAAACAAGAATTTCTGGGGAAAGAAAAAAAAGTTTGTAGGGCCCTATTGTTCAAAATGTTGAAATTGAGACTTTTTAACTTATTTTTTCACTGAAATAAATGTATTTGTAATTACACAGAGAGTAAAGTACCGAAAGAAGGTACTGTTGGGTACCAGCACCGAAATTCAGGTACCGATACCGGTACCGTACCGGTTAAAATGTGAACGGTACCCAACCCTAATGACAATGGCCCATTTTTAAACCTTAGCTATGCACACAAAGGCAGTTTGTTGAGCAAGCAGCACCAGATGCACCATTGAAACAGGGTTATTGCTCTGAGCATTTCCCCTGCTTGGCCCATAAGTGTCCAAAGTTGAGTACATGTAACAGAAACATCAACAAAAAAATGTATTTACACTAATACAGTGTACACTTAAGGTTGTGTTTAACAATGAAAAAAGAAACCGATTGGAAATGTTTGTAAAGCCTAGAGAGCAGCGTGGTTCACTTACAGAGCAGCTGCATGTGAAAACCATCAGACGGACACGTAAGAAGGCATGTTCTTGTAGAAAAATAATGTTTTTTTTTTGTTTGTTTCAATAGAAAGTACTTCAGCTGAAGACGATCCCAGAGAACGCAGGAAGAGGCACAAGTCAGACAGCTTCTCTCTGACATTTGATGATAGCCTGTCTTGGTGTGTGATTGGCGGCTTGCACCGGGAGAGGGGGAACAGTGAGTCTTCGGACACACAAAGCAACTCTGTAAGTAGCACCTTTAAATGTTCATTCACATTGTTTTGGTTTACCAGCAACTGTAACTTCCCCTGTGCTGTCATTTGGCCCTTTCTAACCAGTGTTGTTTGTTTTACAGGATGTAGGTATCTCTCACAGTGAGGGCAGTGAAGAGAGCGAAGACTCGGACTCTGACTCTGATAACTTTAGTGTGGAGTTTGAGGTGGAGTCCATAGACTCTGACGCCTACAGTGAGAATGATGAGGATTCATTGCCTGGAGAGAACGAGGTTTCAACTCAAACTCCTGTTCGTTTGAGAGAGAGATTAACTGATGACCTAACTAACCTAACCTGTTTGACGATCCTCAACTCACTGCAGTTCTGTATTTGCTCACTCAGGTGTATGAAGTCACAATCTTTGCTGAGGATGAAGATTCGTTTGATGAGGATACTGAGATATCTGAGGCAGTATGTAGCATTTTAGTACCATAACCTGATGTTTTTCTAAGTTGGACGGGAAAAAAAGAAAGAAATGGACTTGCGTTTATCTATCAGGATTAGATTAGATTGTGAAAAGGTTGGTGATGAAAGAAAAAAACTTTAGTGAGTCTGCCAAAAAAGAGCAGCTGATTCAGAGATGCCGCAAGTTATTACATTTTGTTGAAAGATTATGATGACATTTTTGCATGATTCAACCAGGAATGTGTATTAAGAAATGACATGCTATGCTGACTTTAATGGGACCATATTTTAAAGTTTTATAGAGTTATCTTTTCCTTGAAAGTCCAATTTTTTTATTTCAAAAAAGCAAGAAAAATCTATTAATCTAAAATAAAAATGTGTTCACTCAGGACTACTGGAAGTGTGCTGAATGTAACAAGCTCAACCCTCCTCTTCCTCGGCATTGCAAAAGCTGCTGGAACGTCCGACCCGATTGGCTTCCAGAAACACACTCCAACATGGAAAACACCTCCACTAACCCTCAACCCAGCACGGAAGACACCTGCATCACCACAACTCCCAGCTCAGCCTCACATGACAAACTGCTTCCTTCCAAACCCTCAAGCCCTCTTCCAGAAACAGACGAAGGGGTGGACGTACCCGACGGCAAGTGCTTGCAATCTCCTGTCGCCGCTAAAGACGAACTTCTCTCCTCCACTGCCGCCGGCTCTATGACTGACTCTCAGACCTCGTCATTGCAGCCCTCAACCTCCTCTGGTGGGGGCAGCAGTCAGGAAGAGACCCCAGAGCTAGAGCGCTACAACAGCCTAGAGGCCTGCCTGCCCGCCACTTGCCTTGAGCCCTGCGTCATCTGTCAAAGTCGCCCCAAGAATGGCTGCATCGTCCACGGAAGAACTGGACACCTTATGGCTTGCTACACTTGCGCCAAGAAATTAAAGAACCGGAACAAGTTGTGTCCGGTGTGCCGAGAGCCCATTCAGTCAGTTGTATTGACCTACATGAGCTGAGACACAGCAGATATACCTCTTCTCCCCTCCTCACATGAAGTTTGGGATTGCTCATATTGCCATGTCTTATAGTTCTAAAACTTTTGCGTTCAAATTCAATATTTGTAATATGTTTCTTATTGAATAAAGAATTGTATTTATGACTCACCAAGCGAGGTTTTCACTGACATGCTGTGTAGGAAATTCACAGATCTATGTTTTAAGGGTTGAGCTTGGAATTAAAACTACTACTTATGAACTCGCAGACATTCTGTATACATTTGATCAGCTACTAGAAATGTTTGTTGTCATTTAATTTATGTACATGCTTATGTTTCATGTTAATTTAAGTTCTTTGCTGCACTGAAATGTGTTCTTGAGCTGTAGCTCTTAAGACACCCCTTTAAAATTGTTCCTCTTGAAGGAAATGCTCTTCTGCACCATTTTCTGCTGCAAAGACTCATTTCTCAGAGTGAGGCAAAATAAATGGATTATTTTGAGGCTCTTCTGCTTTTTCAGTACAGTTGCATTTCTGTCTTTCTGCCAACCTTTTTGAATGTTGTTCTTGGTTTCCTAAATGTTGGATACGTTTTTTTTTTGAGTAGCCGATTGGCTGCAAGAAGGTGGTTTAGGTGTCTGGTGTCATTTTCCTGTGCTGTTGTTTGTTGAGTAGTACACCGCGGTCTCCCAGAGAGAGCTTTGGTTACTAGGGACCCATTTTTTACTCAATATCAAGAAACGTGTTCTGACTTGTTTTTCTCTAATGGCAACCTAGTACAAACATAAAAAAAATGCCACCTTTTTTAACACAAGCACTTCTACAATGGGGAATCTTTTGTGTAGTTGGTAAAAAGGAGCAGCATGGCGAATCATTTGTACTCTCTATGGTAGTCGTGAGCGTTGTGCACCTATTTAATTTGCTTTTGGAAGAATTAATTTTGAAATTGCACTTAGTGCACACTTTCATTAATTCATTAAAATGTTGACATGCTGCAGAAGGCCTACTTTTTTGTGCGTCTAAAAACATTTCAGTGCATTGATCCATTTGTTTCTGCAAGATATAGAACAAAACTCAACTCGCATGTATGTTACTAAATTAGAATTGTGCCGAATAGTAGCAACATGTCAAATGAACCTGGAAGTTTTATGCTGTTAGATCACGCCTCCACGCCAGACATATCAGATCCAGCCCTGGACATCAGATCCTGTCAGAAAATACAACTAGTCAGCAAAATTGTCCAATACCCAAAACCTGTAAAGAGCTAGTCTTGTCTGCTACCCAAAACTATTAACAGTCTTCTATCGGCCAAGAAGCTGACTGAGTAAAGCCAGCGAAGAGTAGATGCAGGAGATGAAATGATAAAAAGGAGACAAGTTGATTGAATAATCTTAGTTGTGTATGTCTCAATGCTCAGATTCGTCTGGCCAGCACAAATCCAACAAGTGTTATTATACCGCAATAGCAATGGGAAATTACTGCTACACAACAACATCCCATAAACCTTGACTTTCCTTAAACATTCCCTTATTCTCTTATTCATGAAGAGACACATCCCTTGAAGCACACAATCACAAGACTAAATAACAATGGGAAAATAATAATATAAATGAATAAATCAATAAAGTGGGTATACAAGTGGATACAATTATTATTACAAATGATTAAATGGAATAACAAAACGACTGACACACATCCCTTGAAGCACACAATCACAAGACTAAATAACAATGGGAAAATAATAATATAAATCAATAAAATGGGTATACAAGTGGATACAATTATTATTACAAATGATTAAATGGAATAACAAAACGACTGAATGAATGAAGAATAAATGAATATACAAGAAAGTAAAACACATATGTACGGTTGCTCTTTTGAAGAAAAACACAGTTTGCATTTGAGGATTCATGGATCCTTCAACGCTAATAGTTGTTCCCTTTTCTAACAGCATATCTGCCAGATGTTCTACAAACCAGAGCTTGATTGCTGAAACCAGATGTTTTCAGATTTGAGGTATGTCATTTCATTGTCATTTGAGGTATGTCAGTTTTTGTTTGTTTTGTTCAAGCGTCAGAAAATAACATGAATAGCATTTTGTGCTTTAATGGATGTTTTATATATGTTACTTAAAGCAGCACTGTGCAACTTTTTCTGTGTTCGAAATTTGCACAATGTATATAATGAGCGAGTACATCATGAATTCATCTTCCAAACCGCGTTTTTGTCTTATTCCGAATCAATGCGGTACACTTATAATAAGTACTTATATTTAGACTATTGTAGCCTGGTCGGGTCGTCGCCGCTGCGGAGTAACACATACCTGCGTGAATCGCCATAGACATAAACTTGGAGAAGTAGCTCCGGTTGGAATGTTCCTCCGCGGGATGTGTGCAGTTCTGTTGATTAACCGCTAGAGCGCCAAACGTTACATAGTGCAGCTAAAAAATCTCTAATAAAAGTCGCTGAAAAATGATTTGCCATCTGCCAACATCTGTTAACTGTCAATTGCTAAATATTTCATTTTTCACATTGCTTCAACAAGTTTGTTCTAGGAAACTGACTGAAGATCTCGTATGTGTCCAGAATCTCATCATATCTGTTGCTTGCAGCTCATATATGTTTATAGTTCCAAATAGAAGATTAAAGGTTTTCACATTTAATTGCAATTTAAAGCATGTAATTAAAATACTTTAAAGAAATGAGTTTTTTCTAATAAAATCATTTAATTCTGTTGCATCTGTAGGCATTTGAGGGGTTATAAAAGCTCATTGTGCTCAACTTTCTTTAAATGCACTTCAAAGAAAATGTTACACAGACAGAATTTCAATCAAGTTAATAATTCTGAGATCACTTATATTCATTTTGGTGTGAAAGAACAATACTGTTCAAAAAAATCCGGATTTTTAAAGATTAAAGGATAAAGGTTTTTTGAAAGAAATCTCACCAAGGCTGCAGTTACTTGATCAAAAATATAGGCTAGTAAAAAGTAATATTGTGAAATATTATTCAAATGTAAAACAACTGTTCAATTTTAATATACATTTAAAAATGTAAATGATTCATATGATAGATACAAAGCAACATTTCATAATGAAATTTTGAAAAATATCTATTTGTACAAGTTTTGTGCAATGTCCTATTTGCAGCTTATATGTGAGAGTCTGCCATTATTACTTTAAGTATTTTACAGCAGTAGGCCTATGTATTATTTCACTATTGTGCCATCTGACACCTATCAGATATCAGAAACAGCTTTTTAGCCATTTGTGTCTAGTAACTGAGCCTTTAATCTGATAGTTCCGATCAGATCAAGAGTAAAGAGCAACCGTGCACAAATTAATTTCATCAGTGTGTGCTCATCTAGATGCTTTTAAAACTGGAATAAGGCTCCACAACTGGGAACATGAACCTGAAAGTATTCAAACCCCTTCATTTCCCCCCATATTTTGCAGTTAAAATGTAAGAAAACGAACAAACAACCAACAACAATAAAAAAACAACAAATGTGCCCCAATCATCCTGTAACCTCAGGACAGATTCATTGCACCACGTCCTCTTTTAAAAATCCGTCTCAATGAATTTGAGGACATTTTGAGGTTACAGGGAGGAGAAATCTTAGTAAATAATAAAAACACTGGCGGCTATATGTCACTCATATTTTTTTTAGAGTGCTTGTAGGTCCATAGCGCGACAAAGCATTTTCTCGAAGCGATGCAAATGAATCTTTCATGTGTGCTCATATCCAGTGACACATGCCAGAGTTTTCTTCCCCGCAAATGTCATTCAAATCTCAGAGACGGTACGTTTCAAATATTAACTCAGCCCCCCGGTTCAGAAAACACACGTGAAAAACTGCAGCATAGGATTTGCTCTATATTGTATGAGGCGCCTGACTTGACAGTTGAACTCTGAGACGAGGAATTCAAGAGTTACGCCGCAAGAGAGCACTGTGACACTTTCTTCTCTTACCACATACACATTCTTCTCATTAGTAGTCCACCCTAGCACAATAATGTGTGCCTCCTATTTGAAAGCATTAGTATAATCAATAAGTAATTCAAACAACGAAGTATATTTTCACATGGCAATTAAAGAATCGTCTTTTTTCTTTATTTATGAACTGGTAGGATTGTTTGTTTCCTGAAATGAACCTCACACTGATGTATTTTTTTGTTTCTTCAGTGAAAGCCAGTTTCACCTCGTCATTAAAGAGGTAAAGCTCAGTTCCTCTGCCAATCAAAAGGATGAAGGTAAAACTGTAGGTAAAACAGTTCAAAGGGAATACGTAACTGATATGATATATTGATAGCATGCATATTGGTGTATTAGGAAACTGACATTAATTTATGATAAGATCTGAGCTCTGTTTTCTTTCCTTTGCTCTTGGGATGTGTATCTGACGGCGATGATGATGTTGTTGTTGGATGGAAAGGGGGAGTGTGTGTTTGTGTGTGTGTGTGTGTGTGTGTGTGTGTAATTAAATGAAATGGCTAATCTCTCTGTTCCTCTAAACATATTGGGAACCCAAATCTATAATCCTTATAAATAAAACCAACTATGCTGGAAAATTGGGAATATATATTTTTTATGTCTGTATATTCAAAACCTAATTTCACATTTATAACTCGTATCTAAAAACTTACAAGTAGCATAATTTAAACTAGTTTACGATCCATTTGCTGTATTCTGCAAAAAGGATAATGATAAAATGTTGGCACAGTTATAATACACAGCCGAAAAATAAAATGCAGCAGTCATTGGACTGAAATAAAAGGCTTTGTTGTTGAAATGACTATAAAGAAAAACAGACAGGCATTTGTTTCTTCAGTGAAAGCCAGTTTCACCTCGTCATTAAAGAGGTAAAGTTCAGTTCCTCTGCCAATCAAAAGGATGAAGGTAAAACAGTTCAAAGGGAATACGTAACTGATATGATATATTGATAGCATGCATATGGATGTATTAGGAAACTGACATTAATTTATGATAAGATCTGAGCTCTGTTTTCTTTCCTTTGCTCTTGGAATGTGTATCTGACGGCGATGATGATGTTGTTGTTGGATGGAAAGGGGGAGTGTGTGTTTGTGTATGTGTGTGTGTGTGTGTGTGTGTGTGAAATGAAATGAAATGGCTAATCTCTCTGTTCCTCTAAACATATTGGGAACCC